TAACCACCTGGCTCATCCAAGTAAGATGTGTGATGTGAGGGTCACCGGTCTGTGGTCATTTATCTCAGCAACTTGTCCTACTTTAGGTACCGGAACAAGACATGATGTTTTCCACAGAACCGGGACCCTCCCTGTTTGTAGACTTAAGTTAAAGATCCTCTGGAAAGGCTCAGCCAGCTGGGCTGCACAGTCCTTTAACAGCCACGGTCAACTTCCTGGCCAACAAGTGTGATGAACTGGAGGCACTTGTGAAGAACCAGTGAGCATATCGTGAGTATAGTCTCATATGTTTCACAGAGACCTGGTTAAACGACAACACTCCCGACCATTGTGTGGATTTACCCAGCTTCACTGCAGTACGAGCGGACAGACGCCGGAGCAAGTGGGAAGAATAAGTCAGACTCTCCAGACAGTTTTTATTCCATACGTGCCTTTGCAGCTCATTCAAGCTGTTACTATAACTTCAAGAAACTCTGTCACCTGGTGGAAAGATGACACAGCTAATGATGCAGCTTGTCTAATCCCCTGTGGAGGACTGGTTCTGCTTGTGAACAATAGATGGTGTAACCCCGGTCAGATCACAGTGAAGGAGAAGATCTGCTGTCGGGATATTGAACTGTTGGCAGTTGGTCTTAGACCGTACTATGTACCGAGTAGTGATGGGTCGGTCGCGAACGAGAGCTGGATTAGAGCCAGCTCTTTGAAGTGAACGACGGGATCGTTTTTTTTTCTTTTTTAATTGTCTTTTAAAGCCGCATTGGTCAACATGTGTGGCTGTGGCAGCATCTGTGTGACTACACTGAGCAGGAGGGGGGAGGGGAGGGGTTACAGACACTCGCATTTTGTTTTTTGTTTTTCACTGTACATGGTTGCACATTTTAATTTATATTTTGTTGAGTGATGTTTAGTTGATTTTGTGTTTTTTCACAAATTAAAATGGGTCTTTTTTATTCAAAATTTATTTATGTATATGTTAAGTTATGTTAAGTTTATTAATAAAGCCATATACATACTATACATATGTTATATTTTATGTTTTTTTACATTAGTTATTCATCTTACCCATAATTTGGTAATAAATTAATTTAAGTAACAAAAAATCTGAGGAGCCACTTGGGAGCCGAAAGAGCCGGCTCTTTCTAGTGAGCCGAGCCAAAAGAGCCAGCTCTCCACAAAGAGCCGGAATTCCCATCACTAGTACCGAGGGAGTTCTCACACATCGTCACCATTGTTGTTTACGCGCAACCACGAGCAGAGCCTGCAGTCGCGCGTGACGTCATTCACGAGGATGGTGCATTCATTGCAGTATCGGGGGATTTTAACCATGTCACTCTCACCTGACTGGCTTCACTCAGTAAGTTGACTGTCCCACAAGGGAAAATAAGACACTTGATCTGTTGTGTGCAAATGTCAAGGAGGCTAACACTGCCTCAGCTCTACCACCACTTGCCAGGTCAGATCATAAAATGGTTTTCCTTCAGCCTTCCTACAAACCCTGTGTACTGAGGCTATGTTCTGGAAAAGCACCAGGCCCAGATGGTGCATGTCCAAGGCTGTTAAAGGACTGTGCAACCCAGCTGTTGATTTTGTTGTTTTATGTTCTGATGAAAAACGGTTTCTGTTATCAAGTTGATTATTCAACTTGCTGTGTAAAACAAGCCTTTACATACAAAAACCCAGCAAAATTCCCCCATTCATTATTTCATTTTACATTGTTTCCAACTGCAAAAAAATGGCTCAAAAATGAACAGAAATTATTCAACATTACATAACACATTCTCAACAAAAACTAAACATATTAAAATCAAATGAATGATATGCTCACTGGTTCTTCACAAGTGCCTCCAGTTCATCACACTTGTTGGCCAGGAAGTTGACCGTGGCTGTTAAAGGACTGTGCAGCCCAGCTGGCTGAGCCTTTCCAGAGGATCTTCAACTTAGGTCTACAAACAGGGAGGGTCCCGGTCGTGTGGAAAACATCATGTCTTGTTGCAGTCCCTAAAGTAGAACTACCGACTGAGATAAAGGAACAAGGAACTGTGTGAACTACCCTGTAGCCCACATACTGGATCTCTGACGTAAACCCACACACGCAGGACTTAAAAAACAATTAAAACGAATTAAGAACATGAAACAAAGACAGTAACTAGTGTGTCAAGTAAACTGCTCAGGTCTCATGCAGAGGAGCACCCTGGAAGAGCCTGGCCATGTCTGCACAATGGTCAGGATGAAGAGGCAATGGTAAAGCGAGAATCATTCCCTTCCTTTCATGGCCCCCTAATTGTTTGTAGTTTCAATAGTTAACATCACAAAATTGGTAAAAAAAAAAAAAAAAAGTAATGTAATTACTTTAATCACTATGTACGACATACTGTATGACTTTGGCTGAATTACCAGCAAGCTACTGCAAAATGGCTACTACTAGGCATACAATGGCACATAGTCCACTGCCCCCACGGTTCATGATCAGTGCTTTGGCTAACAGGATGCCCCATCCAGTTACTATTTAGCAACACTTACCAGTACCGTTACATCAATCTAATGACATTCATGGGGATCAGNTATGACTTTGGCTGAATTACCAGCAAGCTACTGCAAAATGGCTACTACTAGGCATACAATGGCACATAGTCCACTGCCCCCACGGTTCATGATCAGTGCTTTGGCTAACAGGATGCCCCATCCAGTTACTNACATGGTTGCACATTTTAATTTATATTTTGTTGAGTGATGTTTAGTTGATTTTGTGTTTTTTCACAAATTAAAATGGGTCTTTTTTATTCAAAATTTATTTATGTATATGTTAAGTTATGTTAAGTTTATTAATAAAGCCATATACATACTATACATATGTTATATTTTATGTTTTTTTACATTAGTTATTCATCTTACCCATAATTTGGTAATAAATTAATTTAAGTAACAAAAAATCTGAGGAGCCACTTGGGAGCCGAAAGAGCCGGCTCTTTCTAGTGAGCCGAGCCAAAAGAGCCAGCTCTCCACAAAGAGCCGGAATTCCCATCACTAGTACCGAGGGAGTTCTCACACATCGTCACCATTGTTGTTTACGCGCAACCACGAGCAGAGCCTGCAGTCGCGCGTGACGTCATTCACGAGGATGGTGCATTCATTGCAGTATCGGGGGATTTTAACCATGTCACTCTCACCTGACTGGCTTCACTCAGTAAGTTGACTGTCCCACAAGGGAAAATAAGACACTTGATCTGTTGTGTGCAAATGTCAAGGAGGCTAACACTGCCTCAGCTCTACCACCACTTGCCAGGTCAGATCATAAAATGGTTTTCCTTCAGCCTTCCTACAAACCCTGTGTACTGAGGCTATGTTCTGGAAAAGCACCAGGCCCAGATGGTGCATGTCCAAGGCTGTTAAAGGACTGTGCAACCCAGCTGTTGATTTTGTTGTTTTATGTTCTGATGAAAAACGGTTTCTGTTATCAAGTTGATTATTCAACTTGCTGTGTAAAACAAGCCTTTACATACAAAAACCCAGCAAAATTCCCCCATTCATTATTTCATTTTACATTGTTTCCAACTGCAAAAAAATGGCTCAAAAATGAACAGAAATTATTCAACATTACATAACACATTCTCAACAAAAACTAAACATATTAAAATCAAATGAATGATATGCTCACTGGTTCTTCACAAGTGCCTCCAGTTCATCACACTTGTTGGCCAGGAAGTTGACCGTGGCTGTTAAAGGACTGTGCAGCCCAGCTGGCTGAGCCTTTCCAGAGGATCTTCAACTTAGGTCTACAAACAGGGAGGGTCCCGGTCGTGTGGAAAACATCATGTCTTGTTGCAGTCCCTAAAGTAGAACTACCGACTGAGATAAAGGAACAAGGAACTGTGTGAACTACCCTGTAGCCCACATACTGGATCTCTGACGTAAACCCACACACGCAGGACTTAAAAAACAATTAAAACGAATTAAGAACATGAAACAAAGACAGTAACTAGTGTGTCAAGTAAACTGCTCAGGTCTCATGCAGAGGAGCACCCTGGAAGAGCCTGGCCATGTCTGCACAATGGTCAGGATGAAGAGGCAATGGTAAAGCGAGAATCATTCCCTTCCTTTCATGGCCCCCTAATTGTTTGTAGTTTCAATAGTTAACATCACAAAATTGGTAAAAAAAAAAAAAAAAAGTAATGTAATTACTTTAATCACTATGTACGACATACTGTATGACTTTGGCTGAATTACCAGCAAGCTACTGCAAAATGGCTACTACTAGGCATACAATGGCACATAGTCCACTGCCCCCACGGTTCATGATCAGTGCTTTGGCTAACAGGATGCCCCATCCAGTTACTATTTAGCAACACTTACCAGTACCGTTACATCAATCTAATGACATTCATGGGGATCAGTCACTGTCTCAGTCACTGTGTCACTGTGGTTCATTTAGTCATGTACAGTGTTATAGAGAAAAAGTTTATATATGAAACCGGCAGAGAAGAATAGTCTCATTGTCTAACTCATGTTGATGGTTGGTAAACATGACAAATATTCACATTCACATTTAAGAAGCCTATTATGTGTATTTATTCTTATTTTGTTCAAGATGTGCTTAGAATCCTACAACTGACACCTGTGGCTAAATGTTTGGCAACTTTTTCAATACAATGTCATTACATCATAGGCAGCTCTGATGTTTTACAGCACAGAATCTTCAACAGACACAAGCCAATGAAAAATAAAAGGCATTTTATTAAGTCATCATACTATGGAATGCATAAATTTAATGTCCCACATTACTATATATGTGAAAAAAATGTGAAATAAAGATACCATAAAATAAAAATGTGCAAAATGACAACACCATTTTTAGAAGTGCTACAGCAGATTTCTGGTTTCTCATTTTATCTTTGGAGACTGATGCTGATCACAACACTCTATTTAGGGTTTTAATAGAATGCATTCACTACTTCCATAGTCAAAGTTCTACATAAGTTCCACCACCATCATTTTGCCCACCCCAATTGCAAGGCAAATCACATCATTATACAATATATATTAAAATTAATATTTGATATACAGTCTGTCCTATTTAAATTCAGTTCCATGATCTCTGCTAATACAAAAATCCATCTTTGCCACTGAACACTGCTGCAGGTCTGGACACTGCAGAGCATCATGGTCATCAGTACATGAAAAAATTAAAGAACTCATGTCTTCAAGTCTCCATGGATCCATTCTACCACCATTTTGGCGACTTCTCCTCCTGCATCCAGGACAAAGGCGTGCCGGAACCCATTCTCACACAGTCTGATGTCTCCATGTGGGAAGTCCTGCTTGATGTCAAGATAATACTGCACAGGACACCAATGATCTGTAGTTCCATAGTAAAATATGAGCTGAAAGTAGAAACATATTTTGTTTACTATAGAACTGCCCTAACAAACATACTGAATTAAAAATTAACAGCTGAAAATGAGTGAACCATTAGCTGATTATTCAAGCTCAGTATTTTATTATTCATTTATTCATTAATATTTTATATTCTCACAATGTCTTAATGCCATCAATCATTGACTGGTAGCCATTTAGCATATTGAATCATATACAGCAGGTATGTATTTTCTTACCTTTTCAAGATTATTCTTGATGGTTATGTTGTCTCTTTCCAGAACATTCTTCATTTCTTGACCACCCATGTACATAGCATTAGCTATAAAGAGAGACAATTGCATTTGCGTCATGGCTTTGATTTAGGTATCAACTTCACATTCACTAGAGATATTTAAAGGTATGGTCTGCAGTGTGAACCACAGTTTGTTGATTTTGTTGTTTTATGTTCTGATGAAAAACGGTGTCTGTTATCAAGTTGATTATTCAACTTGCTGTGTAAAACAAGCCTTTACATACAAAAACCCAGCAAAATTCCCCCATTCATTATTTCATTTTACATTGTTTCCAACTGCAAAAAAATGGCTCAAAAATGAACAGAAATTATTCAACATTACATAACATATTCTCAACAAAAACTAAATATATTAAAATCAAATGAATCTAGGTGAGCAACAAGCTTTACCAACCTGCACAGTCTCCAGTTAGCAGACCTACAGTAGGCTGAACGACTGTGAGGTCCAAAGAGTGAATGCCACCAAACACCAGTTTGATCAGGCTGCTTTTGAATCTGTCAGGCAGCAGAGAGAGCAGGAAGAGAGGCAGGTAGGCCACATAACGCATGTGACACAGCACAGGGGTCATAACCTTCCCCTGAGGGGTCTGAGCCATGCGCTCAATGGTAGGAAACAGCATGACAGCCTTCAGAATCTGTATCAAATAAAACAGACAAATCGAAGGGAATACAAGAGTCACTGAGATAAGAAACCTCCTGAGTAGAAAAGGGGAGTTTTTCATGTGAGTGAATCTGCTTCCTGTTAGTCTGAAGACGAGAGGGGAGTTTTAACCCCATTGTCTGACAGAAACTAACTTCTCTGTTATGTGTCACCCTCTAATTTGAGATGTCAATAGACAGCAGGGTGATTTGGAGTAATATAACAAAATTATGATTAATGCAGTCACAAAACATCAATATTGCAAATTTCAGCTCTTAGAAATCGTGAGGTATAGTGATTTACCTTGAGTTCAGGGTCTCTCTTAATCATCTCTAGAATGATGTAGCAGCCGATGGAGTGTCCAACCAGGATCAGGTTGGTTTCTTTGGGAACATGTTTCCTGAGGAATGCTAACTTGTGTTCAATCTGACCGTTCAGACCAAACACATCTGCCTCTGCTGCCGAGGATGCATCTGTTTGAAATACATTTTAAAGGGAGATACATTTTCATCTATGTAACTTGTTTGGATATGCTGGAAATACACAGTAGAGTCTTGTTGGTATATTAGGGACAGCAAAGAAACAGGCCAGTGCACTTTGCTTCCATGCTAACTAATGGAAACACATGGAGTTTCAAGTACAACTTCGATTTTGAAGTAGGCCGACATTAAATCAGATACTATTAGTCATATTTACCTTCAATGAACTACTCCTTGATACCTTCCCCCACCCCCCACACCCACCTTTTCACCAATAATAGTTCTCTATTTTAGATCAGATTAGACAGATTGGATGGGAGTCTATAGTGTAAAGACCTTGAGAATCATCAGTACCTTGTACCATGTCCATGGAGTCTGGAGGTACACAGTGGCCAGCATGGCTTACAGCCCACACTGGGTGGTGGTAGCCAAACATACTGTGCAGTGTTTGCATGAAGGTTTTGTAAAACCCCACTACACCAGGATTACCTGAATGGAAGAGGAAAACATACAGTACGTGTATTTTACATTGTGTTCTACTTTTCTACTGTTTCCATACTTCATTTGTTGTCATACAATTAGTTATTACAAGCAGAGGTTGTTACATTGTGAGTGAAGTGATGTGAAGATACCCCTACCATGTAAAAACGCATGTTTAGTTAAAATGATGATACTCCTCCCTGTAAATATACTGTATACTGATCATAGTGGTGTTTGGTGGCATTCACTCTCTATTAAAGTTTTATGACTAAAAACTCAGAGATTTGGAGATCACCACTGTGGTCAATGAAATTCCAATAGACTAAACTGTTTGGTTTAGTCCAAAGATAAATAAAGATAGAGTTTGGAGACAGGTGACTGACAGATGATTCACTCTACCTGATGGTCAATGAAAAAGTTGCAGAATCCACAGAGCACATGTCAATGCAATTATTATATTATGGATTTGTTTTAATCATTGGACATCTTAACAGGTTCAGCATCACAATAAATACACATGGCTTAGTTAAATCAGTTCAATTGAATAGTACTGAAATGTAAAAGTTCATTATTAATGTAAAATCATAACAACTGCATGTCATTAACACTCTCTGGATCTCTTTTGACTACAACTCTCATTTTTAGGACTGGATACACAAACTTCTGTTTCAACTATATGGTGGACGGAGGAAGAGGCTCACAAAACTATGATTGGTTCTAGCTATCCAATGAGTAAAAAGCTCAGCCACAGCCAAATCCTCCCAGCCGATGAACCACACACACAATCATTAACACAGAGTATTAGTCCAACTCACCTGGAATGATAAGAAAAAGAATTTTGTGTCCAGAATGTAACTGACAGGAGCCAAATTTAAGGACCTCTGTGTTGGCTCCACAACAGAAGATAAAGTCTGTTTGTGGTTCATCTCTGCTGCCTGTCACCATGTTTTCCATCTCATAAGCTTTGAAGAGAAAGAAAACATCAGAAAGCCAATTATGATCATTTCACTTAAAAAGTCATATTTTAATGCACTTTTCAGGAGCTTCAACCCACCCATTCACATGCTAAGTACATTCATTCAAATCTAATGAAAAGGTGCTACTGTAATACTATATACTATTTAATACTATTACCACAATGCAACAATCTATTACAACTGGCTCTACAGTTTGTCAGCAGGGTCCAAAGGTGATGCAGTTCATCTGTGTCAAAGGCTAAAAAGCGAGTTGTGCATGTGGTGCATTCAGGAGCTCCTCTCAACACTAAATTCAAATGACTTAAAATTCTCCAACCGTAAAGCCTACACAGCATTTAAGTAACAGAAAGTACACAGTGAGAAGGCTAAATATCACATAAAGTTCAATTTAACGGACACCATTTTTAAAATTCAAAATATTCAAATACCAAGCAATATCACACCAGAGGGAGTGATGTACTGAATATCAGCACGGCTGTGATTCGGTCATAGGTACGAGGGAGGCACGCACAGCCTTGTTGATATTCTGTACAACATCACTCCCTCTCGTGTGATATTGCCAAAGATCCTCTATACAGAAGAGACTGCATTACAGGCAGCACCAATGGTATGAAATGGGACACAGTTCCAGTCTCCTTAGTGGGCGTTGTCCCTCAAGCCAAGGCAACTGGCATGAAATGTAACAGTAACTAATATTCAAATCTATCCCTATACAGGATGGAGTATCCATATATTAGAGGATTTTCAGTTTCACATCTACAATCGGAGTGCCTAAGGGGAAGCAATTAATTTGATCTCCCCCTCCGGACAGCCCTTTTTTTTCTTTTTACATATGGACATCTGTCTCTGTCTCTGACATTGCTTAAATATGACATACTTCAATCATCAAACACGGATACTGTTATTGCTAAAAAAATAATTGCTGGTTAATATGGTATACTGAGCGGTATTTAACATTTTATGGTCCTCTCCTCTACCGATATAAAGCCGGATTAAATTGATAGAATTTAAATGCAGTTTGGTTTGAGTAACGAGCACTGACAATAACTTCAATGAGTTGAAATTACAATATACTGAGTGACGTTAGCTTGAATCCTAATAGCCATTTTTCTGTCTTTATCTGACAAGTATAGTGTGTACTAAATTATACTTTACCTCTTAATATCGGTGAAAAAAAAAAGATTAATATGATATCCTGCTCATAGTTTAGCGTCTCCCGTTTCTTCGGTGTGAGGACTTCCTGCTTCGAACACTGCCGGCCTCTGATTGATCAGCTGAGCGGTCGTCCCACAATAGCTCTCTTGGTTTTGTTAAAGAGTGATTACCATCCAAAACTCATTCACATTGCTGCCCCCTGTAGTTCTGGAGTGTAGATAGCTCAAAGCTGAGTGAAGGAGCGGTAGGAATGATACAGTAGCATATAAGCAGAGACAGCATTCAGTACAGTGACTTAAGTCGCTGCCTCTTTGCCTAAAGTAAATAAGTTAAATAAACTAAATAATACTGGCAATATGTAATCAAGGATACGTTGCTCACATATCCTTTGGAGCCTCAAAATGTTCAATAATGAATTAATAAATAATTATGAAATAAATAATCACATTAATAAATTGTGAAAAATATATAAATTAAACAATCTGTTAAAATTTACTGCTGGTGTTATGTAATTGAAACAGAAACAAATGCTATTTCTGTGTTTTAAAATACACTGCTCAAAAAATTAAGGGAACACTAAATCATCACAGTTTAACACCAAGTCAGTTAAACTTCAGGGAAATTAATCTGTCCATTTAGGAAGCACAAGTAATTGTGGATCAATTTCACCTGCTTTGGTGCAAATGAAAGTGAATGCAATGGAGAGGCAAAAGCAAGTCAATCCCCAAAAAGGGAATGGTTTTACTCGTGGTGGCCACAGACAGTTGCTCTGTCCTGATCCTTCCTCACTGATTCTTCTCTAGTTTTGTGTTTTGCTAGGGTCCTTTTCACTACTGAGGCAGTACCTGCAGCCCAATCAGGTTGCACAGGTAGTCCAGCTCCTCCAAGATGGCACATCATTATGTGCAGTCACAGGAAGGTTTGCTGTGTCTCCCAGCACAGTCTCAAGAGTATGGAGGAGATACTAGGAGACCGGCCGATACACAAGGAGAGCTGGACAGGGCCGTAGAAGGGCATCAACCCAGCAGCATGACTTGTACCTGCTCCTTTGTGCGAGGAGGACTGGGAGGAGCACTGCCAGAGCCCTACAACATGACCACCAGGCTACTGGTGTGCATGTTTCTGACCAAACTGTCAGGAACAGACTCCATGAGGGTTGCAAGAGGGCCAGATGTCCTCTAGTGGGACCTGTGCTCACAGATCAGCACCGTGCAACTTGATTGGCATTCGCCAGAGAACACCAGAATTGGCACGTCTGCCATTGACACCCAGTTCTCTTCACAGATGAGAGCAGGTTCACACTGAGCACATGTGACAGGCATGAAAGAGTCTGGAGATGCCATGGTGATTATGCCTCCTGTACATCATCCAGCATGACCGGTTCTGGGTGGGTCAGTGATGGTCTGGGGAGACATATCCATGGAGGGTAGCACAGACCTCCATTTCATAGCCAACAGTTCCCAGACTGCTGTTAGGTACCGCCATGAAATCCTCAGAGCAACTGTCAGACCTTACGCTGGTGCAATGGGTTCCTCCTGGTGCAGGACAATGCACAGCCTCATGTGGCCAGAGTGTGTAAGCAGTTCCTGGATGATGAAGGCATTGATGCCATTGACTGGCCCTCATGTTCCCCTGACCTAAATCCAATTGAGCATCTATGGGATGTTATGTATCTGTGCATCCAACGCCGCCAAGTTTTGCCACAGACTGTCCAGGAGCTCACGGATGCCCTGATCCAGGTCTGGGAGGAGATCCCCCAGGACACCATCCGCTGACTCATCAAAAGCATGCCCAGATGTTGTTGGGAGTGTATATGGGCATGCGGGGGGCTGTTGGGTCTGAGCTCTGCCTCATGAGCTTGACACTATAAATGTTGGATCTTCAGTTGTCTATTAATTTAGTGGCTATCATAAATTAATGCAATTAAATTAAGAAAATATCAATATTAAAAATACTAATATTAAATAATAACTTTAATATTAATTAAAGTCCTTGGGGCACCAGCCTAAACTAATACGCAAAATAGCCAATATTGTTTCAGTGTCAAATTATTACTATTAATCTTGAACTCTGATTAATAATTACCTTAATTACTATAACCAAATTACCATATCAACAGTAAGTTAATTTGATGGATTGGAATTCTACTAGGTAGAGGTTGGCAATATTCACTCTTGTGCAATATCAAACACACCAGTTACACTTAAAGACATTTATTTACAATGGAACAGAGTAAAAACACGTCTAATCTAGTATATACAGGTGTATTTATGTGTGTGTATGTGGGGGTGTGTCTGTGGGGCCACAGACAAAGGCAAGATGGCCGATTCAATGTGGTCACTGTGACCACATGACCTAAACAAAGAAGACGGTGGTAAACAAAAAAATACTCAAAATGGCTGCTGAGACCACCTAATGTGTGGGGGAGGGAAGGTGTGAGTTTCTTTGTTAGCCTAGCTCATGTAATCTAAAGGTACCAGGTTAGAGGGAGAAGGTTAGCTGCATGCAGGTTCTAGAACTGAGACATACTACAGCAATGTGTGTGAACATACAAGTACCCGATTAACTGTATGACTGACCACAACCTAAGCCAACATTTCAACAACAAGACATTAATCAACATGTACATTAACAAAGTTAAGACTTCTGCTGCTTAGTAGTGCTGTGCTATGCTGTGCTAGGCTAGGTGAGGTTAGGCCCAGTCAGTTAACGTTGCCCAGGCCTTGGAAAAAAACAAAGAGGTCCTTTCCAGTGTTGTTGAAGTGTCCAGTGAGTTGAGTGGCTTCCGGTTGGAGTAAAGTCCTGTCTGGCTGTGTGACTTCTGCTGTTATCTCCTTTGCTCTCCTCACAGAGTTAGCTGTTCCATGCTAACTCCGTGGAACTGTGACTCCTGTTGCTTGTAAAATCAGCTGGCTGACCTTGTGTTGTAGCTGCTGATTCTGAAGAGAACTTGGTTCACTCTCAGTTAATCCTAAGCAGGCCGCTGCTGTTGAGGAGAAGAGTGTTGCAGTCTGCTGTGAGCAGGCTGATAAGAGATCTGCTTTGTCAGGTAGCAGGGCTGACCTGGGCTGGGGCCTTGTTGCCCTTTTGAAGAGCGGAGAGGGGAGAGCGGGAGCTGCTCTCCAGAGCAAGCTGAGAAGAGAAAGAGAAGGGGGAGAGAGAATGAACAGAGAGGAGATCTGGTTTTGTTTGGTGACACCCTGGGGGGGGGGGGGGGGGGGGGGGGGGGGGGGGGCAAAGAAACATCTGGTATCTTGAATGAGTCCCAACAGGGGCCATACACACTACTGAGTCACATTATGAGCTGGATCAGCCTGTGATTTCAATTTTACTTTGATTTTCAGTGTGATTGTGAATCCAGCCCTCAATGGGTTCATGATTTTGGTTTCCATTGACCGTTGTTACGTCATTTTGTTCTCAACAAATTATACAATGTACATCAGTAAAGATTTTCAACTTGAATAGTCTGTTCATCATGATCCAATGTGTGATTTCAGTGTGCTCTGTATTTTTTATGTATTTTATGGCTCAACAGTTCACTCAGTCTCACAGCCAGGCCTTAAGTGTTTTAATGGAGCACAGAGGGGCAATTTTCAGTTTGCAAAAAGGTAATCTGTTTGATTCCTGATACTTTTGGAAGTCATAATAAATCAAAAGTAATGCTGTAGAATTATAGTGCAAATTTGTTATAAAATACACACATTCATTCTCTCTGTCTGTCTCTCACGCACGCACGCACGCACGCACGCACGCACGCACGCACGCACGCACGCACGCACGCACGCACACACACACACACACACACACACACACACAAATGAATCAAAGTATATACAATTTAAAAAAGTAAAAGTATAATAAAAGTTATTCCTGTTATGTTGATTTATCTGACATACCAGACCTGCTATATGGGATGGTAATGAAATACCTCAATGAACTAGTACAACAATACTAACTTATAACATAACTTCAGAGGATCACACCAAAACCTGTCAACAGCCAAACTATTGACCAATCAGATTACTGGAAAAACTGAGTCATCATTCCTACAGGATCCTGACAGGGAAAAAAGAGTTTACAATAAAGTGATCAATAATAATGAGCAGTAGATATAAAATATAAAAAATCAGTGGAATAGTTTTCCTGTTTGAGTATTTCCATATGTCCACTCTGGTTTTAAAGCAAAGCTTCTAAAAACATGGGTTTATCACGTTAAATAAATAGCCTATATAATAACTATTATAGGTTAATTTTTATTGAACAGATATTGTTTAATCTGACAGGATTCCTGACAGTGATGAAGCTTTTACTCTCTTCATCATCAGTGCAGCTCAGAATAATATGAGGAGACTCATTGACCAGAACTGGAAAAAAAAAAAACTAAACCTCTGATGTCTTTGATTAGAACAATTAGCCACACAGTGTTAATTATTTCCATGATTATAAATGAACATTTCAGTCAGACTGACTCATCAAATATCGGCTACTTCTCTCCACTTTTCGTTCTCTCCTCTCTACAGCAGTGACAGTTTGAACTTTAACTGTTTTCTCTGCATCACATGTTGAAAATATTCAAACGTGATGATAATTCGTGCACTTATTTACAATGTATCTTTAGTCTTTAGACTTTAACAGAAATTATATTTAGACATAATATATATATTTAAATAATATTTTTATATTCGAGTCATGTGATCTTATCGTTAACATTTGACATTGTTGAACATGACTTCTGGTCGTTGCTATAACTTACCATCAAGTATCAGCATTTCTTCTCAGATCATATTAAGTACTTTGTTCATGTTTCAGACGATGTTGCTTATAATTAACCACTCTGCCTCTTTCACATGAACATGCTCGTACCCGGATGTAAAACCAGGGTTAACTGAGCCAGTTGATAACCAGCTTTGTAGTACAGGTTATCAGGACGGTCAATGTTAGGTTCAGTTAACCCAGATAACTAAAAGTGATCCCGGGTATATTGAACTTCCTTCATAGTAGCGACCTCAGATGTGTTGTCTTAATATGCAGCACTTTTTTCTGATTTTTGTTTTGGTGGTTTTGTGTTTTTGTTGTTGCATTGTTTCTGTATTTGCAGCATTTGCTATTTATGTCTTTGTTTTGGCTTCCTGCAGCCGTTTTTTCATTTGCCACACGTTGCAGTTGTTGTATTTGTTTTGTATTTACGTATGCGTTTTTGAATCTGCATTGTTTATGAATTTGCAGCTTGTTTCTCTTATTGGAAGTGTTTTGGGCCGTTGAAGTGCATTTGTCCTGCCCAGCCACCCTACCCATGCCTGCTCCTCACACTGCAAATGTCCAAAGCCCCTTTCAAACCATTGTGTTTTAATTTATTGACCTCCTGGCTCAGCTGGTCGGTCTTGATCTGAGTTCACTCACTTTCTGACCAATTGTTCTACTATAATTATTTAATATTACTATAAAGCAAAACAAAGTGTAATTGGTTGTAAATTTTTTAACCTGCATATCGATGATGCTACTTGTAGCCTACTTACAGCCAATGAATTTCAAAAAAAAATATTGATTCCATTAATTCCCAACAGTACAATTCAGGTGCCAGTCACACAGGTGGTAATATTTGTTCCGTCTTTTTTCACGGGGTCTGGATATTGATCATATCCGTTAGGAGGACCTCTTGATCATTGACCATAATGTATATTTTTTGATCATTCTGAAAATACTGACTCCATTTGTCCCAAAAGAACAGTGCATTAACAGTAATGTAACTGTCATTCACCCCTTACCCTAACCTTAAATAAAGGAACAAGGAGCTGGGTCAAAGTAACCCAACCAGCTGGTCAGCTGCCCATCATGAGCAACCCAAGTGTGAACGTATTCAAAGAGAATGTATGATTAATTATTCATTTTTAATTGATTAATTTATAACCTGAATGGCTAATAATCAGGAATTGTTGGTGTTTGGCCTTGGTGGAAGTTTGAGCTCTTCTTGGTGGGATTATTATTCAGAATATATTATCCATGAACATGACATTTGTCAAACTTTTTAATGGGGTAAAAATACAGCTGTGCTGGTGGTGATAACAGTGTGCCCATCTTTTTATGTGGGCAGTGCATATATTGGTAACTCAAAACCATTTAAAAGTTACAACATGGCTTCTCAGGTTGAATGACAGCTGATCCAGCTGTGCCACTCTTTATGCAGACAGCCTAACTATGGATCAGGTGTAAGTATTAAAGCACATCTGACTAAAGTGGTTTCTGTTGTTGTTTTTTTTTTAAATCAAGGTGACAAGTAGCACAACATCACTGCAAAGGAGGACTCTGGTGTCAGATGCAAATATCCCCTGCACCGTCACATCTCTCAGTGAGTGTTACACTAGTTGGTCTGTTTCATGTCTCTACAGTATCAACAGAGGCACAACCACTACTCCTCTTTCTCTTCCCACTCTCTCTGTTTGCTGGGCGGTCTCGGTACTCGACTGTCTGGCCTACATCAGTCCTTTGGTGATAAGCGGGTGTTTCTGGGAAGCTCTGCCCAGACCCCAGCACCTGTCTGACAGTCATATTCACTCTGGAGCTCTGGATGTACTTGGAGCACACCATCCAGTCCTGTTTTGATATCTGCTCCATCACAGTGCTGTCCTGCAGGGAGGAGGCCAGGCTGCAGACTTCCATCTCTAAAGGGGTATGGTCTTGTGGCACTGGAACAATTCGTGGGAGAGCGTGGTAAAGGAGGCGACTCTGTCCCGACATAACCATTACATCCCCACTGTGTATGTACATAGCAGTGGGGGGGTCCTGTCTGTGTGTGCCTCCCAGGAGGAAGATGGCTGACTGCCCAAAACTAGAAAAAGACAACAACAACAGTGAAGGGATTGGAATATTTTTCTGTTTTTAACCAAGCAATTACCAAAATGCCTTGACTACAGAAAAATTAGTAACAGCCTGAACTGCTGGTACAATAAAACAAATATCAAAACAAAATGTGTGAACTGATCCTGAACCTGTCTTTAAGTTAATACTCTTCTCCCCTCTCACCTGAATGACAGCAGTGGCCGGCTGTGATCCAGTTCTGCTTCGTCCACATGGATTCCTAGAGAGGAATCAGGTCGGTAGTAGTTGAGGATTCCAGCCTCTGCTTTGAATCCTGGGAAGCCACAGGCGGCTGCTATTTGTAAGGACAGCAAATGAAGATCAGCTGGGAAAGGAGTGTAATGGTTGGCAGAGTAAGTCTGTGAAGGGAACAATAAAGGAAACATTTGGACCACTAGACAAGAAAAGCAATGTTGAGAGATATGTTGTAACAGGCTGTGAAATATTAAATACCAGTTTTCTTTCCATACATTTTTTCAAACTTGTTCACAGACAAAGTTCTTAAAACAAACAAGACTTTTGGCTCATCTCACAAATTGTAAATGAAAAAAACAAAAGGTCCATGAAGAAAACAAATGATGTGTTTAAATACTCCTGGTGGCCTTATGGTGGTTTTAGACAACTGGAGTCTGTATTTTCTTCTGAAATTACACAACTTTATGTCTATTTTGTCTGTTTTTAACTATGTTTTGAAAATTTGAATCCTTTATTACAGACAGTTAGATAAAGAGAGAAAATGAGCATAAGATTCAGAAAACGCTGCTGGCCTGATCCTCCATATTTTCCTCTTCTCCTGTGTTTTATTTGAAGTGTTGATCCATAAGAAGATATATTTCTGGTTTTAAGAACCAAAAGCCATCTCAATGTCGTTGTGCATCTCCTCTCTCAATATGTTCACAGTATTTATACAGAACCTAAACCTGCTTTATACATCTTTCCACAAGATGGGACCTTTAAGCATGGTGTGGTTTAGGGTCGGTATTTTAAACCCTAGCTCCTGAAAGCTTGTTGTTTATGTGGATATAGATTTATACATTATCTTCTAACAAAGCAGGCTGCGTTGCTTACCTTGCAGTGGCGATTGCTCTAAGACTGCAAGGGAAGCTCAGCTTCCCCTAAAATGTCAACAAAATAAGTGGTCAAATATGTACTGTTGTGTGTACATTTCATTGACTAAATATGCGCTAGAACACGTTCATCTTTTGTTCAGAATCAGCTACTTATCACAGGTAACCGACACGACTTCCTTCTCATTCATCCCCGCAGCGCCACAGTGCTTTACACAGTGTAGACGCCGAGTGTCTACTGACTTCAGTGGGGAAGCACAGAGTGGGTTGTTCCACTGCAGCGAAACTAGACGGTCATTGGATAAATGCTAGGCTTTGTCCCGCCCATCGGACGCTTAGCGTCTCTGGGGGTCTATGGGGCAGTGGGCTGGCCCTGACGCTCGGCGTCTGCATGATGATTGGATGATCTGTCTGAGGCTGAGTCCCTTTTTGATTGACAGCGAAATGAGCGAATCAGCGATCTTGAAGTATAAGCATCCACCGGAGCATTTTTCAAGTTTTTCATTCCGTTGTTCGGAGTTGATCTGGAGACGTTACTGATCCTCAGCAACTTTGTCTTTGTTAAAAACGACTAGCGTTGTGTTTAGCGACTCTCTTCTGTCACTGCGAATTTACATATAAATAAACGGACACATTTTATGATGTAGGCCGAAAATGAGCTTCCCCTCCTTATAAGACCGGCGGCCGCCACTGTTACCTTGGTATCCCAGTTGTAATGATATCCCAGAGTGACCCAGCGCAGCTTCTCCAGTAGAGTCAGTGGTTCTCTCTTTCCAGAGGGAGGACAACTGTGGAGGAAATCCAACACAGAACACACTTAAAGAGGCAGGCAACAGTGGGCCAGTGTACCGTCACTAAACCAAGCTTCCACCAAACCAAGCAAAAGTACTGCATAGATTTAGCATTGCACTTCACTATAACACTGTCAGACTCCTGACTGACACATTAAAAACAACTTGCACCAACTAACGCTGACTCCAATGACATCACTTGAGGCAATTTATCAGACTTCCCACAGCTCCCTCTGGAGACACAAAAGGCTTTTACAATTTTTAATCACATATGCAGTAGAACTCGCAAACAGTTTTGGCATGAAAAATTTCAATAAAACCTCATTTGTTTGTTGGCAGTGAAATTAGCTACTTTCTAAATATGTAAATCACAGCTTTTGTGTATGCTGGCACTAAACCGTCAATGCACTGAGGTTTTAAGATGGAAAAATGTACAAAGGTTTTATTAATGTGAAGAGATAAATAAATAAAATTTAAACTAAATAAATAAATAAAATTTGTCTCAAGATTTAAACTTGGCAGTCCTCTCTACTGGACAAACTATGAAATGAGGACTGTCACACTCTGGCCTGAGTGAGGGTAGGTTGGCGAAAGGCTGACTGGAAAACTGTACTTTAATGTCAGCCAATGTAAATGTCGGTGACAGGAAGCATGACAAAGTCAGTTCAGTGCAAAAAAAATTAAAGGTTTTATTGTCCTTTTCCCAGACAATCCCAAAACAACATGAAAATGCAGCCCTCAATCAGTCTGCACAGCTGCACAGCCCTCCTCTAACTGCCCCCCGGCAGTGCAGACCTCCCTCCATTTTATAGAATAGGCCCCTCCCCCTGGACCATACCATCTTCTAATGGAATTAAATAAGTAATCAATTGGGGGCCACAGGCCGTTTCTCATCTCAGAAACCTGTACAATAATATATTTACATTTTTCAACACACACATTACAGGCATCTTCACAGAATTCACCCAATATCCCAAACTAGGGACACAGAAACAACCACATCCAACATCCCCATCAACTGGCACGGTGCAGTGGGATGGACTGAGCATGCTCCTAATTCCCTCAGGCACTACAAAAGCCAGCTCGACGCCATGCTCAGGTCCTTTGACACTGCCCGGAACCAGGAAGTGCTGTGGTAAGACTTAGAAACAAAATTAATTTTCAACAATGGCCTTCAACCTTTAAACAATAAAAAAAAATGAACTAAAAATGGTGTCTGTGTGTGTGTGTGTGCGTGCGTGCAACTCAAAACGTGTGTTTGTATTATAGGAAAGAAAAATAGCACAGGGAACTTGCTAAGGTGTTAAATGTAGTCTAGTGTGTGCACCCACCAACTAGCAGTAGCAAGCTACCTGGCTAACATGTGGCATGTGAGTTGTATGGTAGTGTGGGGAGCTGGTGTGGTGTGTCAACAGTGGCAGGGGAAACTGTCACAAGGACACTGTCTCTAAATTATCCCAAACATATTTCCAAAATTTCTATACTAACATTTACCTAATATTTTCATTTACTGGCTTGACACATACACCAATCCCTAGTCTGTGATAACCTGAAGACTGTCAGACAGACAATTTATTGATCAGGCTCTATTTGTAGTGGTTACTGGACAGACAAGCTGGTCAAAAGGGCTGGGTCTGTGCTTGGCAGGAGTCTGGACTCACTCAGGACTGTTGTGGAGAGAATGTAAGATGGAGGCCATCTTGGACAATACCAACCAACCTCTCCACAACATTCTGGCAGGACAGTGACGCAGCTATAGTAGCAAATGTTTCATCTCACTACACTGCAGAACAGAGAGGTTCAGGAAATCCTTTGTTCCCAGTGCCATCAGGCCATACAACTATACAACACCTATCTATCTATCTATCTATCTATCTATCTATCTATCTATCTATCTATCTATCTATCTATCTATCTATCTATCTATCTATCTATCGAGATACTGAGTCTGTGATTATTTGATATTTGATAGTGGCAGCTAGATTTCCTGAAGCTGGATGAACTGGAGCTGTACTAGGAAAATTTGACATTTCAGGGAGAGGAACACTGCAAAGGAACAACCAAAAGTTTGGGTAATTATTGTTTTCCCCGGCTATTACCTAAATCGCTTTAAGGAATGACACAACAACAGCTAACTTGCGCAGGTCAGAATTGTCCGTGGGAAGGAGTAGAGCTAATCTTACCTGAGGGCATGTATGCTCTTACCCCAGATGTCCTGGGTGTCAGAGAGAGACATGTGCATGTCCAGGTTGCAGACGTTGGGCTTCTGAGGGTAAGTCTTCAAACACTGTCTGACCCAGAACGGTTGGGAGCCCAGCAGGAACGGGTTGGAGATGAAGATGAACCCTGAACAACACACAACATTACAGAACTGGGTCATAGAAATGTTTGATAACATTAATCCATTGTTATATTGATGTCCATTAGTACGCCACACTGAAAGAAGACGCTCTCATGCAGAGTCAGGCAACAAATGAAAAGAAAACCCTTGAGGGTAAGGAGAGATACAAATTGCAGATGTCTGCACTCAGGGCTTGAGGGCTCACTGAATGGTTTGATAAGTATGAAAATGATCTAGACCAAACTGAACATCAATGGTAGATTTAGAGATGACATGCTGGGCAGTGCTTTCCAAGAAGATCATCAAAACACCACAGGTTTTGGAGGAATGCTGTCACCCCTCCAGTAGAGTTCAAACAGTTGGAGAATCTATGATCAGGAATACTGAAACTGATCTGGTATTGATACTAGAGGAATAACATCTTACTGACATCATCTTTATTTGTCATCCACTGGTGTTTTGCTCTATGTATGTTTTCTCTCCAACTAAATACTGAATTTAGTTTTGGTCTGAGAGTGTGTTAAACTATTGATCTGAGTTAGATTTGAGTAAAGAACTGTCTGTCTGTCCATCTGTCCTGTGTTTACCTGGGTAGCCCTGCAGGCCGAAGGCTCTCCAGTCTCTGACAGGCTTTAATCCAACCCTCGTAGCCTCCACATCACTCACTGTCACTGGGTCCAATTTAGCTGGGACTACCTATCAATCACACAGACACACACACACAAAGTAACATCAGGGATCCAGTTTGCTGCAGTGGCTGATGTAAATATTAAAAATAGCCACAGCTTTTTCTCCCAGCCAATCCCGTTCATTGAGTATAGGCTATGTAGACTTGTCAACCAATATGGAGAAGAAATCTAATGCAACCTGGTACAAACATTCTGACACCAATCTGTAATTTATGGAACTTCAAATACTGCACAGTCTGTGCCAAGGATGTTCATTGATTCATCTCTGGTGATGTTTGGAGTCTATACAGTCTGTACCGCGGTGCATTATACATATATGTTACCATTAGCAGGTGTATCCCACATTGTTTTCCACTGATATTTATACATAGTTAACTCCAGTTCAGCTAACATTTTCACATTTTCCTGACTCTTTATGAAATAAATGCTTCTTTCCCTCCTTGTCCTCGTTCCGGTACCTAAAGTAGGATGAGTGGCTGAGATAAATGACCACAGACCAGTGGCCCTCACATCACACATCATGAAGACCCTGGAGCAGCTGCTTCTCCACCTTCTGAGGTCATAGGTTGAACATGCACTAGACCCCTTACAGTTCACCTACAAAGAACATATTGCAGTGGATGATCCTGTCCTTTACATGCTCCACCGGGCCCATTCTTACTTGGATGAGCCAGGTGGTTAAATGAGGATTATGTTCTTCGATTATTCAAGTACATTTAACAAGACAAGCTTGAAGGGATGGGGGTGGATCCCTGCTTCACGTCCTGGATTGTGGATTACCTGACATGACGACCACAGTACGTCAGGCTGGGTAACTGTGTCTCAGGGACAGTGATGAGCAGCACTGGGGCTCCACAGGGGACTGTTCTGGCTCCGTTCCTGTTCACCCTGTATACGGCAGACTTTAAATACAACTCTGAGTCCTGCCCCATCCAGAAATACTCGGATGACACAGCTTACACGGTGTGTATCAGGAATGGGCAGGAAGAGGAGTACAGGGACCTGTGGTGGCCTTCAGAGAATGAAGCAACAAGAACTGCCTTCTTCTGAACATCTCCAAGACCAAGGAGATGGTCATCGACATTCAGAGGTCTAGGCCCACCCTTCAGCCAGTCAACATTAGAAGGAGGGACATTGAGGTGGTGCACACTTAAAAATACCAAGGCGTTCACCTGGACAGTAAACTGGACTGGTCCCTGAACACGGATGCCATCTACCAGAAGGGGCAGAGCCAGCTATTGTTCCTCAGGAGGCTCAGGTCCTTTGACGTCTGCAGTGAAATGCTGCAAATGTTTTATCAGTCAGTGGTGGCTAGTGTACTCTTTTATGCTGCAGTCTGCTGGGGCAGCAGCATGTCAGACATGAACCCAAGGAGACTGGACAAGCTGGTCAAAAAGGCTGGGTCTGTGCTTGGCTTGAGTCTGGACTCACTCAGGACTGTTGTGGAGAGATGCATGCAATGTAAGATGGAGGCCAATACCAACGATCCTGTCCACAACATTCTGGCAAGACAGAGAAGCAGCTACAGCAAACGTCTCATCTCACTGTGCTGCAGAGCGGAAAGGTTCAGGAGATCCTTTGTCTCAGCCAAAGGAAGTGGACTAATATTATTAACTGTTATCATTATTATCAACAATGAGCTAATGGCAAAATGAATTTCTCCTTGGTGATAAATTATCTATCTATCTCGTAGGCTCAAGAAAACACATGACCTGAATTATCATACTGTGTTACATTAATCACCTACGTCCTTTGGTTCGGATAGTCCCAAAGCCTAAACGTTTTGTTGATAACGCTTTTCAAACATATGTTTTCAATTACATTTTGCTGATTAACCGCTTGTATGTACGGAGGTATAACGCCGGCCTTATGAGGCAGTAAAGCGTGTGAAGCGTACTTCCGCCACTGCCAAGACCAACTTTGAATTTAAAGTACAATTTCTGGTGGTTTCGTAAGTCCTCGTTTTTTAATTTAAACCCACTACAAATGTGTCCACGAACCTTAAAGTAGCAAGTTACAACACCGTCACTTTGACTCAGATCAGGCTCAATCACGTAATTCTTGCGAACCACAATGTCTGTTCTCCTGGTTTGACACTTAGCTCACCTTGTCACTCAGTACATCTTTGGAGAAGTCAAGGACATTACTGAAATCTGGCGGAGGGTGTCTTCTCTTGTAAAATTTGAATATTTTTCTAAATGCATCCTCTCCGCTCTCCACCATGTAGGCTGCCATTTTGGCCGTGACGTCACTTGGTAACCTTTCAACTCAAGTCCGTTCCGGAGCATTCCCAACTAAGTGGTTTTACATTTCTTCATAATGAAAACGATAAAAAATGAACACAATTTGAAGAACACACAAACACTTATCGAGATTGGGCCTCAAGTTGCAACATATTGTTCTGTCACATGTCTACACCAGTTTGTATCACGTGATTTTACGTCATTGTTCAGCGTGGCAGACGAACGACCAAACATGGCGGCGCCCTCTAAGAAAGTTTTCGAGGTCTTCGTGTCTAAAATACCATGGACTATAGCCGGCAGTAAGTTGATTAAATTGTTTAAATGATCTTTCATATTTAGTGGCAGAAAGATATGTATCTGTAGCCACTCACTGTACTTTATACATGGTTTTATAACCTACTGGATGTGTCAGTCACACCGTCATCTCATAACAGCCTCTGCATGTGAGAAGGAGGAGGACGAGGGTAATGCGTGATGTCAAAATCTGTTTTAATATTATAACTGAGCAGTTTCTTTCAATTCCATATAAAACACCAGCAACACACACGCAGTGATCAGTTTATGTTTCAAACTTAACTAAAAGTCTAGTGGAACAGTCCTGCAACAAACCCTTCCGTCATGAAGGATGTAATGTGCAGTTAAACTGTGTTAGAGAGATGTTGATTCAACCTCATGGTCCTTTTGGAGGGTTCAGCTTGTGGTGTTATTGAACAATGATTGTGTTATACTGACAGACGTTTCTATTATTTTGTGCACACGTATAATGCAATTTCAGTAAAAAGTGAAGGAAATGTAGGCTTTATGGCCGGGCTGTTGTATAAGACTGCATAAACTTTAGATAGCTGTAACCTAATAAACTGTAAACTGAGTGTGTAAGTGTCAGTTATGCTGTAGTGCAGGTCTTCAGTTAGTGAAACTCAGAGTTTGTGTTTGAGAACATTAAATGTCTGTGTGTATCTTTCAGAGGAGATGAGGGAGTACTTCGGACAGTTTGGCCCAGTGAAGAAATGTCTTCTACCATTTGTAAGTTGGCACATCAGAGTGACTGACTAGCTCTACTGTGTATTCTACAGTATTGAGTGGAGTGCGTACCATGAAGGCGTAGTCCTAAACGCAGTGGCCAGGTTTGAGTTCAACCTGTAGCTCCTCTCTCTCTCACTGACTTTCCCATCTCTCTAACTGATGCTATCGCAATTAAATATTTAAAAAATAAACAAAAAAATAACCTAAAAGAAAGTGTTGAGCCTGGCTGGGACGCGCTTGTTGTTCAACACCCAATTGTGGCATTTGAAGTTGAAAGGATTGAACAACAAGTGCGTCCCAGACAGGTTCATCACCTTTTCGGTCCCCTGGAAACACTTCTGTATTTGCAGCTTATGTGTTGTCAAATTGATGAAAATGTTTTCAGAATTTGTCTGTCTTCATGTGTTTTCTTAAGTTGCTGTGTGTTGAGCTCTTGGGGCCACTGTAGTTCTGTCCATACATACATATATATATATATATGTGTGTGTACATGCACTCTGCTACTATTTTCCCTGGTTAGATGCAAAACTGCTTTAAGTTTAATCATTTTCCCATTCATTCATTCCTATTCATACCATAGTCTTTCAGATTTTTGTGTTCCTTCTTCCAGGCAACCATTGTTTTTTGTGTTTGGTATAAATATGAACATACAGAGGCTTAAAACTTCTTGAATCATCCATCCAATGAACATAAAGTCTGGTTTTATGTTTGCCTGTGTTTGTGTGTTTGACTGTGTGCTGTGTGTTGTACCAGGATAAAGAAACAGGCTTTCACAGAGGCTTCTGCTGGGTTGCATTCACATCAGAGGAAGGCCTGAACAATGCACTTCAGAAGGAGCCACACATGCTGGAGGGAGCCAAGGTAAAAGTAAAAATATTATCATCACCCAGCTAGGTCTTTGTCCTCGTCATGCCAGTGTCATTTTGGTCTGACAACACTTTAAGAGTATAGAAGATAGAGTTTATGAAACAGAGCTTTTACATATATTTGTATAGTTTGGCCTTTTTGTTAAATGGGGGTTTGTTACTAACAACTATTTTGTATTTATCTTATATTCATGTATATTATCTACCTTTTCAAATTTTCTGACATATTAATAACAGTTCAAAAATGATTATAAATAAATTAATTCACCATGTAAATCATTTAATTTGGAATTGATGACAGTCAAAGGTCTGTTTAAATTAGTTTATGCTCATTTGAAAATGGGGACAGGAAACCACGGCATTGTTATAAAAAAATGAAAAGATAAGAAACATGAATACAAAAAGGGGTTAAAAGTGTGTTTTTAGAAATGTCACTAAACATAATTAAGTTTCAATCGGACATGAGCCTCAACCTGAAAATACTGATATTCGGTATGTACCTTATCCTAATTGTTCTCCCTTTTTTTTTATTTTTTTTTATTCAGCTCCAGGTTCAGAGGAATAGACGGCTGTTTGCAGGGCAGAAACCAAACAAAGACAGTGAACATGACTAAATCTCTCTGCTATTACTGCATTATTGAGACAGAAAAAGATCTTTTGTTATTCTCTGTTATTCTTTTGCTCAGCCAATAGGAAAACTTGGTGGTGTGTATAAGTCTGTGTGAACCTATGTGTGTTCCTCTTTTTGTTCACTTCCAGTGATTTGGGGCCTGAGCATTGTTGTCGTTGTTTTGAGGAGTTGTCAAGTTAATGACTGTATTTATTGTCAGTTATAGTGCTGTACTTTCTGTAACCATTCTGTCACACACCGTAAACATGATACAGCCGGTTAATGCTAACTGAACACCATTCACTAATTTGTAATGTATGGGAATAAAAACTTTCACAACATTAATTTCAATGTGTGTTTTGTTTGATTAGCGCTGGTATTTGTAATGTAGTATTTTAGTTCGATTTTTTTTTTTTGGGGGGGGGGGGGGGGGGTCGGTGTGTGAGGTACTCATGAATAGTTGGTAAATTACCTGTAGAAGATTCTGTTTAGCGACTCCCAGTTAGGAAAGCCGACAGGCAGCACCTGGCAGAGTGGCAGAGCGATGTGTTGCTGCGCACGGGGCCACCTGAAAAAAAAATGTTTCAGACACTTTTAAAAACGCCCATTGCAACAATCCAATATCCGATTAAATGTACTCATATATAATATTTTCGAATGGCTGAAAATATTTTAAATGAAGCATACATTTTTAGGCATATTGGATAATTTCGGTGGGCGTTTTTAAAAGTTTCTGAAGTTTCTAAAATCTGATTTTTTTGGATTGTTATTGTCTTTTTCATCGTTTTTAGTCTACTTGTGTGTGTGTGCCTTTGTATATGAGGTTGTGCAACATAAAAAAAAGAATGAGCCGGAAATGAAGCAAGATAAAAACAAATCGACACACACACACATACATATATAAAGTATAAGGAAGGCTGAACAAGGTAAAAAAAAAAGATAAGATAAAAAAAAAAATATATATATATATATGTATATGTGTATGTATGTATGTATCTTTTTTTGTTTTTTTAATCTTGTTTAGCCTTCCGGCGTCTCTTGATGAACAGCTGATCACCGTCTGACGCATGTAAAATACGTCATTGTGGTCGTCCATGTTGTAGTTTTGATCTATCATAAACGGCGACAATCAAGGCATACAGTCTCACTTCATGAACCCGTTTACCCGACCTTCTGTATGAGCATCATAGAANTATATATATATATATATGTATATGTGTATGTATGTATGTATCTTTTTTTGTTTTTTTAATCTTGTTTAGCCTTCCGGCGTCTCTTGATGAACAGCTGATCACCGTCTGACGCATGTAAAATACGTCATTGTGGTCGTCCATGTTGTAGTTTTGATCTATCATAAACGGCGACAATCAAGGCATACAGTCTCACTTCATGAACCCGTTTACCCGACCTTCTGTATGAGCATCATAGAAGTCATCTCTCTATATGTTATAGTATCGTGCGAGTCTATAGCTAATGTAAATGTAGTTGCCCACATCTCCCGTTTACTACGTTAACCAGAATTCTTCGCTCTCAAGTCGAAAACTCGTCAAGAGGTCAAAACGAAACCGGCAAGTGAAAGACACACTGCAGAGACTCCGGTAAGACACTGTGGTTCGCAGACAGTGGACTGAATGGATTTGTTTGTCCGAAGTGAAGGATTTCCCCTTGTTGAAACTCGGCGGGTCGGTTCAGTGTGGATGCTCGTCACAAGTCGGTCGTGTGGTTCCGTGTCTGTTTCAACTAGTTTGTTATGCAGCAGGTCGTTGCATAACACACATGTGCCAGAGCTCATGCGGCGTTTTACCTTTAACGTGAGATTCAAACTCCAACCTGAACCAAACCACCAAGCAGCACTAACATCCAGGTTCTCCCCTGCTATCGACTGTCGGTTAAATGCATTTTAATTGCCTGTAATTATGTCCCCTGTAGCCTGTCTCTCTGTCAGGCGACCTTGTGTAAAGGGGCATTCCATGAAGTTTCTACAGATTAGGTTCATCTTGCTATGATTAGTTATACTCCAGCAAAACTAAGGTTGATGATTCTTAGTGATGCATTTCCTCAGTTTGGACCATACAGTTGGACTTGGAAACTACATATTTATAAAAAAAATCCTGCATTACAAACAAAAGGAGTGTGGCAACTGATAGACAGGATGGAGGATCTAATGAACAAACTATCTAGTTGTATAATAGAAAATGTAGCTTCCAGTGTTTTAGTCCACCAAAAAACACTGATCAACTAAAAGTCAAGATATTTGTGTCTTTGCCGCATTAGTTCTTTTTCTTTGGCTGCTCCTTTTCTAATTTGAATTTTGCATGTCTCCCAACTTTGTGGAAATGCAATGCTATATTGCTAAAGTTACCCTTTAATGACAGAGGATGAGAACATTGTGACGGAATGTGCACATATTGTCCACACAATGTCAGATTTGGAAGGTTTTCAGTTTCCAAAGGTAAATGTATTGAATCATAATCACAGAGATCTTAAACACAAACACAGTTATTGTTGCAGGAACACAATGTGGACATGATAAGTTGTAGCTGAATATTTGCAGTGCAGCATCAGGCCATATAAAGGGCATGCTCCATAAACCTGAGGACCCAATCTCCATGTGCATCTTCTGTCTCTCATTCAGTACCATTCATCCTTGGTTTATTGACTGTCAGTCAACAACAAACACAGCCTGACAGCGTGAAATAGGTCATGGTATTAGTGACAGTGATAATAGTCTATCCCTTTTTAAAGACCATTCTGGTCGAAGGTGAATTTGCTTCACCCTGCATGGGTTAAAACATCTGACATGTCTTCAATGTTGATGAAGGTTGATATTTATCTTCTGAAAGAGATTTTGATGGATACTTGAAATGAACTGGCTTAGCTGGTTTGCTTTCTGATTTTAAAATCAGTGAACACTGAACATCTGACGAGTCAGACGAGACTGATGTTCATTGAGCACAGTGGGAGTAGGTGTACCTGAAGGCTTCCCAGCATGCACTGGGGCAGAGGAATTATCATTGATGTCATTTTATCTGTGTTGTTATATGGTTGCTGGTATGTTCCCTGCTACGTTTCTGTTCCTATCTGATAACTCTATCTTGACAGAACATGTGTACTTGCACTTGTGAGAACTGACTGTCACTACCATTAGGTAATATTGCGCTGAATATTTCAATAACATCATATCATAGCATATCTGCTGTTTTTCCTTTATGCAGCAATTTCAATTATATAACTTTCAGCTCTTACAGTGACGCCTTCAAAAGACCATACATGGTGAAAGATTTGACATTTTACAAATGAATAAAATTATCTGCCTCATACTGAACTTTATTAACTTAAACCACAGTTAAACAGTGACCTCTACTGGTGTGTAGGTGATTTCTATAGGACACAGACCAAACCAAAGTTACAGTTCAAAGCACAGCTTCTGAAGTCACATCCATAGGATTTAAGTGATCAGATAGCACAAGTTTCCTAAACCTTAAACTGCTATATGCAGGGGTGGGACCCTTTAAAAATATTAAACAAAAAATTGTAAATACAAATATACATAAATAAATAGTTATTGTTACTGATCTGGTAAAAGATGCTGTGCCTTTACTAAATTACTATCACATACATACACCTGACACACAGTGTGTTTATGAGCACGGTTTGTAGAAATGATGAAATTTAGTCTGTAACCTGCAGCTGCATGTTGGACGCTCAGTTGTAATGACTGTGGCTCAGCTGTTGCTGGTGCATGTGCACCAACGTAAGGCCAGAGTTCAGTCAGTATGTCAATATATTCTGAGTTGGTTTAACACTGAATATTGAGTGAAGAAAATTAGCTTTCTTGGTTTGGTTTGGTTCTACCTCTCTCCTCCGAAGAAAGAATCCAGTGTTTCCCCAAAGATGGACAGAAGTCCACCCCAAATGTCTTAAAGTCATGCCAAACATCACTGTATCAGTGGCGAAGATACTATTTGCTCTGCTGCTGAAGGCAGGGGAGCTAGTCCTGAAGGCACCAGCAGCTGCAATAAAAAGTCATTCAGAGTTGTCACATTTATGAATTGATGAAACACAGCTATTCTTTTATCTTTGCCATCTTTGACACTTTTTTTTCATAAACTTGGAGTCTGTCAGAACGTGCTTTTCATATTCATTCTTTCTCCAGTGCCTCTGATGGCTGGTCGGCTCCTCAAAGTCTCCTCTCTGGCTACAGCACTGTTTGCCTCCTCTGGGTTTTATCTGTACAACAGACAACTGGACCTCAATGACCTGAGTATCATCCGCTTCGGACGAGCTGCAGCTACTGTGAGTGACCCTGTGAATCTTTTTTTTTTTCATATAGGCTTTTTAGGCTATAAGGCATTTTATTCCGTTATTTGATAGTGCAGTAGTGAGAGACAGGAAATGGGGAGGCAGAGAGAGGGGGAATGACATGCAGCAAAGGCCGTCCGATGCGGGACTCGAACCGGGGCCAACAGCACCGAGGACTGTAGCCACTATGCTACACGACACCCCTACCCTGTGAATCTTGATTTGGGGATTGTAGAAGTTCTATGTTTTTGTTTTGACGTCAGGTTCAGTTCCCAGAGGCCTGTGCCACAAAGCAAGATTAGTGGGTTGGCAGCTATCGATCTCTACCAGTAGAACTGGCTTCATGATAGAAGACTTGCATGCTGTACTATTTAGATATAAAATGGATATTTTTCAATGTTGTTGCCTTTTGATCATTAGATGTTCTGTATATTATACATAAATGAAAACCAATTTCCCAAAGCATACTGCACTGTTTATGAGATTTTTCTTCAATTCCCTCTGGATTCCGCTGCAGCTTAAACTTGAAACTTGCTTCTGATAGGTGACTGGACATCTCAGTGAACAACATTCTGCTAATGCTAATGCTCACTCAGTCCTTTCCAAAATGATCTCATTCAAATCAACTTTACAGCTGATAGTTTCAGTATCATTCCATAGCGAGGTTTCAGACTTAAATGTTTTGCTTTTGCTGATTTTATGATTGTTTGTTCATTAGTACAACCGTGACTCCTCAGTTCTTTACATGTTGCAGTTCTGTTTGTCTGCAGACGGCGGTCATCAGCTACGACTATCTGACTGCATTCAAACATGTGGAATATGGCACAGAGGAATACTGGGCACTCAAGTCCAAGGTAGATAAGCCCTTTTTTTGTTTTTCCAAACTATTAACTCAGTGACAAAGACAGTGCATTTCGTATAGCTACTTCACAATAAAAGCACCCACCAGTTCTCTGGTAAAATTTTTATGCCTCTGCACCAGTGACAGAGCGGTAGCCATATTGTTGTTGGGTCTGAGCTCTGCCTCACGAGCGGGACACCATAAATGTTGGACCTTTGGTTGTCTATCAATTTATTGGCTATCATAAATTAAGAAAATATTAATATTTAAATAATAATATTAAATTATAACTTATAATTAACTTAATAACTATAACCAAATTACCATATCAACAGTAAGTAAAGGTTGAAGGATTGGAGTTCTACTGAGTAGAGGTTGGCAATATACACACTTGTGCAACAGTAAACACACCAGTAGTTATACTTAAAGACATTTGTTTACAATGGAACAGAGTAACACAATGTCAAATCTAGTATTTACAGGTGTGTATATGTATATGTGTGTGTGTGTGTGTCTGTGGGGACAGACAAAGGCAAGATGGCCAATTCAAAATGTTCGCTGTGACCCGAAGGAAGACTACACAAGATGGCGGTAAACAAAAAAATACTCAAAATGGCTGCTGAGACCACCTAGTGTGTGGGGGAGGGAAGGTGTAAGTTTCACTGTTAGCCTAGCTCATGTAATCTAAAGGTACCAGGTTAGAGGGAGAAGGTTAGCTGCATGCAGGTTTTAGAACTGACACGTACTACAGGTATGTGTGTGTACATACAAGTACCCAATTGACTGTGTGATTAACCACAACCTAAGCAAACATTTCAACAACAAGACATTAACCAACATGTACATTAACAAAGGTTTATACTTCGGCTGCCTAGCTGTGCTGTGCTATTCTATGCTATGCTAGGTGAGGTTAGGCCCAGTTAGTAAACGTTACCCAGTCCTTGGAACAAAACAAAGAGGTCCTTTCCAGTGTTGTTGAAGTGTCCAGTGAGTTGGGAGGCTTCCTGGTGGAGTAAAGTCCTGTCTGGCTGTATTGCTTCTTCTGTTATCTCCTTTGTTCTTCTCACAGAGTTAGCTGTCCCACGCTAACTCTGCTGTGACTCCTGTTGCTTGGAAAATCAGCTGACTGACCTTATGTTGTAGCCGCTGATTCTGAAGAGAACTTGGTTCACTCTCAGTTTGTCCAAAGCAGGTCGCTGCTGTTGAGGAGTGTTGCAGTCTGCTGTGAACAGGCCAGCAAGAGATCTGTTGTCTCAGGTAGCAGGGCTGACCTGGGCTGGGTCCTTGGTGCTCCTTGAAGAGCCAAGAGGGGAGAGCAGGAGCTGCTCTCCAGAGCAAGCCAAAAAGAAAAGAGAGCGAGAACAAAGAAGGAGATCTGGTTTTGTTTGGTGACACCCTGGGTGGTTACATGTCACACACTGACCAACACTGACTGGTCAGTGAGGTCCCTGGGGGAGGGTCGTCCCCAGGTGTGAACAGTGAGAAACTGTGGGGAAGTGAGATCCTTTGTCTGTGGAACAAAGATACATGTAGTCTCTTTAATGAGTCCCAACATTGTTTATCTGTTCTCCCTCCATCTATATGTCCCATTCTCGTGGACACAATATCTCACTCAAGACTTCACAAGGCAATTATGACAAAATTTCACACAACTGGTTCATTTTTTATGACTCTGGATAAACAGGGATGTGACCTGAAACAAGTCTGAATGGCGGAGGCAGACAAGGGGCTATATAACTCACTTGTTCAAATTTTTATTAAGGCTTAAAGTTCTGCATAATTGAGGGCGTGCCACTTTGAGTGACAGGTGGGTGAGTGTATGCCTGTCACAAGCCGGCATGCACCAAAGTCTCGGGTTGAAACACGCCCCACCTCTTTGCCCATTTTTGAATTAGCCGGGAGATCGGCGCAGTCAGGTACTGGCTCGAATGCAAAGGTGGGACAGCTCAGTCTGAATTTAAAAGCTGCTCTTCAGGAACCTATGGATGACATCATGGACGCTATGTCCATCTTTATTTATGGTCACAACACAGTGCAGCTAAAGCCTCTGTTCTTGTGTTCTCTGATTTTTTTAGTACCCTAAACTGCTTTTGTGTTGTCGTGCTGGGTTTTAAAGCCAATCTCTAACCACTTAGACACTTAACAACAAACAATTAAACCAGCGAGTTAGAATACAACCTCTCATGCTAAACTGAGGACAGACTGGACACTACTGAGACTCACTTTCGTAAAATAGTATTACGATATGGGAGAGGCTGGGGCTAGCTCGTTAGCATGCTAACTTCAGTGCATGAAAACAAGTGATAGAAAAATATGCAAAACAAGAGTTAAAGTTGGTGTTTCCTTCCAACACTGGAGACTGTTGGCGAGTAAAGGAATGAAGTTTGATGCTGAAATAGACTGGTAAGTGAACAGCCGTTCATGCTAACGTTAGCTAGGTAGGGATAGAAAAAACTTACACCACCATTAATGTTCACCAGCTATTCTCTAGTCTCTCTGCTGTTTGGTAATGAGCATATCAGAGTTTTTTTATTTTTTTATTTTTTTTTGGGCTTTTTGTGCCTTTAATGGACAGGACAGTAGAGAGACAGGAAATGGGGAGGCAGAGAGAGGGAGAATGACACGCAGGAAAGGGCCTACCGAAGCGGGAGTCGAACTGGGGGCCAGCTGCAGTGAGGACTGTAGCCTCTATACGTATATGGGGCGCCTGCGTAACCCACTGCGCCACGTGACTCCCCCATAGCAGAGTTTTTTCACTGAAAATAGTTGCCTGCTGGTGGCAGTTGATGAGAGCACTGAGTGAACCCACACAATAAAGTTTCACCCCAGAAAGTCAAAACAATGAGCTAAAAGATGCAAAAAAGCTTTAGAGGGCAACTGAGTTGGTGGGTTCATAACTACAGACACCTTAGACAGTGTTATTTTATCTGGGGAACTATTTTCTGTTATCAAGATATAGTTTGTACTATTTAATACATCTAAACATCTAGTGGTCTTAATTCATTGAGGGTATTTAGTGATTATTTAATTAATCTCTGCAGTCCTGTTTTCCATGACAAGTCCAAGGGAGAAACTGGCAATCAAATAAACCAATCAAATAATTTGTGGTTTTAAACTTGAAATGAACCTCCAATTGACACAAGACTGTTGAGCAGCAGACATGTTTCAACATCAGATTTTATTATTACCCATGGTCATATCCACTGAACAGGATCATTTTTGTAGGAGAAACCCCACTCGCAGGTTAAAGGTAACAGTAAATGTCAGTTGATATACAGTGGGGTCCAAACGTCAGAGACCACTTTCCCATTTATCTCAGATGTTTGGATCTCATGTTACATTGAGTGATTTGTGCTGGTGTTTGTTTAAAGGCCACAGCTCAGTCACGTTCACTTAGGAGACTGCTACTGTAAAGGTCTGGCAAAAAGTGCTCTGCTGCAGCAAGAGAGCTTTAGTGAACCTTAAAGACCATGGTTCAGCATGGCTAGCCTTGTGTATGTGACAACACATACATACCACAGCACACACACACACACAACAGCACAATCCAGGTAGAATTAAGATTTTTCGTGAGATAATAAGTGATTCTGATTTATAGCACACACACAACACACACACACACATACACACGCACACCACACACAGATACTCTGTACAGCCCCTTGGGCCCTGCTGGTCAAGCCTGGCTGTTAAAGCAGCCGTGCATCCCAGCAACCTCCGAACACCGTTCTCAGGGTTTGAGATTCCCTGCACAGACTGAATTTCCCAAATTTCACGTTTGATGATGGTCTCACACTGAAGACATCTGGATAATAATATTAAGTCATTGTCACAGCACGAACTACTGAAAACATAAAGTAACGTGACATTTTCATTGTGTGTTCTCTGACACTCAGCCATATGTGTTATGCATGGTCTCTGGCTCCACCTGGTGGACTCAATTGAGAATGCAAACAAAACTTGCAATATCTTGCAGCAAGCCGGTTGAAGCAGCGTATCCTTGCGACCGCCGGACACCAAACTTACTGGTTGACATTTCCTGCACAGACTGTGTGGCAGCAAAGAAGATGTAGTGTGTTTTCTATGCATTCTTGATTCTGTCCACTGTGTGAAGCCAGAGACTACTCAACAAGCTCGCAATATGTTCCTGAATATTAAGTGTAGAACTGCTAATGAAAATGTCATGTAAATCAAATGATTCCTGTTTTCAGTAGGTGGTGTTGTGACTTTGACTTCATATTAGTATGCAGATGTCTTGACGGTGAGGCTATCATCAAACAAGTGAAATTTTGGGATTGAAGAATGGATAGTTAAGTTACAGCAACTGCTGTTTCCACATCACAAATCCACTACATGTAATAAGATTATCGCCAAGATGTACAATGCTATTCTTCAGTCCAAGTCTGAGAATACACTGTATATAAAAGAGAAATGGGAGAAGCAGGGGAATTTTAATATCCCAGAGGAGGGCTGGAGAAGAATATGTCAGCATAGTGGAATTCAACTAGCTCTTCACCAATCGCTTCTATATTTTTTGGAAATGCCAGAATATTATGCATTATTGGCAGGAAATACACAAACACATTAATAATGTATTTGGTGTAAGCATTCCTTTTAGATATGATGCTGTGTACATGGATCCCATTTGTAGGGTGTAATAATAATGTTAAGTGATAACTGATAGGAATACTTCTGGCTGTGGTCCAAAAAGAAAAAAAGTGCTTGATCTGGACCAGGTGGACTGAGTACATTAAACCTATAAAGTCAGATTATAGTTGACTTGTCAGAATGAATGAGTAATGGTATAATGTGACTTGCATCTAGAGGCATCTATTATGTGTATCAAAAGTACTGCATAATTTTCTGCTTTAAATGTACACAATGGGATTCTTCTGGAGTAATATTGATACTATGTAAAATGAATATTGTCAAATGTATGCTTTTTCAAGAAAAAAAAGAATAGCTGTGTTAAATTTAACAGCCTCCCATGCTGGGACATGCCTGCCCTGTGTT